ACAAGTCTTCATACCACTGTTAATAGTAAATACGCCTCTTTCATAATTGATCATACTTAATTCCTTCTACGTATAAATTTTTATATTGTAATTATTTTATCTTGAAATTAGTATTTATATAGTTTTGTTTATTAGTTTTAGTATTATTTTATCCTGTTGTCTTTGTAAATTGTAGAAGGTTTACATGGATAACAATGTTTTTATGTTGAAATATCAACATTTAATGTAATTATCACATGTAAAAATAAACCAATAAATGATACTTTTTTAAAATGTGTTATAGATATATTTAGTGAGACCAAATTTATGTAATATAAGAGACTTTCTCTTTTTCTAATTAATAAATTTGAGGCAAGGCCTCACTGAAACTTAAAAAAAAAAAAATATTTAGTGAAACCAAATTAACCCATATGTAATAAAAATAAGGGTAAATCTATTTGTCACAGTGGTGATTGTCATACTGGGCAAAATTACTTAATTTTTTTGCATAAGTTATTAAAAAAAATTATTGAATATCTGAACTTCTCTTGTAACTATCATGACATAAATTGTTCCTATTCTTCTAACTTTACATATGTCATGTTGTGTTAGGACTTATACTGGGTTGTGTTAAGTGGGAAGAGAATTTTTTAGTTACTGTAATTATAGATATTTTAAATTTATTTTGATATTATTCTAAGTTGCAAAATTAATACAATGTATAAAATATAAATATTGGTGAATAAATACTTCTAATTTTCGTAAATGAACATAAATTATTCCTGCTGCATTAAATGTAAATAATGTTAATTAAAGTTTAATAGAGCAGTGAAAAAAAAAAATCTACATTTGCATGATTAACTTGCATTCAGTTATTGTAGTAGAAAATAAACTACTATAGAACCAACTTTATTTTATAAGCCGTATCGAAACTTCCGAAATAAGAAAGTCATTTCAAATCCAAAAAAACTTTCTCAATAATCAGAATTAAAGTTAGTTTCCTTATTAAAATTAAATATATTGTATATCGCTATACTTTATAATCACGAAATAAGCATAATTTATTGCACGTAAAACTATGATCTGTAAGTAAAAAAAAAAAAATCAATCTTTTAATTTAATGCTATCCATCTTATTCATATACCTTTATGAGTCAATATTTCGAAAAATTTATTTTAAAAGATTTTATTGTTCAAATAACAAATTAGTATTTATTGTATGTTATATATATTCATTATATCTACAGTTTCGGCATTTGTAAAGTAAAGATAATTTTAAAGAAACGTTAAATAATATAAATCATTCTCAAGTAAATATATCTAACATGTGCATTAACATTGTCCAAGAGACATTTCAAGAATATTGTGTACCATTGTTATCTGAAAACCAATGATTATTTTGTAATTTTTCTTTTTCGCGAAATATTTTGCATTAAAAAAAAAAATAACGCCTTATTTAAAGTATAAAAGTGTTACATTTCATCTTATACATATATATTTTTATTGATAAAAATAAACTAAACTAAAATAAACTCAATAAAATAAAATCTTATTTTTCTTATTTCAAAAAAAAAAAAAAAAGAATAAAATTCAATATATTTATTTATTATACAATAAAAAAAAACAAAAAGGAAAAAAAAAAGAACAAAATTTCTTGGGTTTTTACACATGATATAATTGGCGTAACTGACATTCTCATATGATATGCGCACCTGTATTGTGGTAAACTATTGGTTATCATTCATTTAGTACCAAACTTGCAGCAGATTAATGGAAACTTATCAAGATCGGGAAAAATAAATACTCAGATTTGTTTTTTTTTCTCGTAGGAAATTAAATGAAACATGACATAAACCTGTTATTCATTATTTGATGTTCTTGTGAACAATTGGATTCAATATTTTACATTATGACAAAAGAGGGTCATGGCGGTAATTGTGTTTATTAACAGTTAATTATATCTTCCACCACGATATTGATATAATATCTCCACTCACTTTTAATATTAAATTCTACTAATACAATAATGAATTGATTAAAATTAATTAGTTAAAAAAAAGTCAATAAATATTAAAGCATGTATATTCAACACTCATTTACACTTTTATGCTTCTATTGAATTGGGAATTTATTGAAGAACAATGGGATATTATAGGAAGTTCGGAAAAAGATTAAAAGAACAATGAGTGAATATTAAAAGAATTTCAAAAGAAGAACAATGGAGCATTAGAAGAATTCTATTTTATGCCAATAATAACATGAAGAAAATGGAGAAACAATCAACTTTTATGGTTATAGACAATTCTTCTGCAATAAATTTTTATGAATTAGATAATCCTTGTATATTTTTAGCAATTTAATTAATTTTTGATTTAGTAATTTTAGTAAATTTAGTAATTTTACATAATTTTTCGGGGGTCGATGGACAAAGAAAAACTTTTACATCACAATAAGTACAAAAATAGTTCTATAAGCTAGTAATTTTTAAAAATAAGATTCTCAAAGAAAATAAATATGTTTTAGTTGAATTAGCTATCTTTTCGCAAATTTATAATTAAAGATTCCACTATTGTGTTCGTTGATAAAGTTAGGAGTTTGTGTCATTGTTCAAATTTATTTTGACAGATAGAAGTGCACCTCGTTGATCCAAAACGTTTTAGTGTTCTTTGATTATTATAGAAAGAATAGAAAAAAATAGCAAAGAAATTTAATTCGTTTATTTTTTTTTTTTTATTTCGCGCAGAGTTATTTATCTTTTCATTTTTGATAGAATATTTAATTGATTTTTTATTGTCATATTATAAAAAATGCAAACAATATTCTAAGAATATTTTAATGTGTACAATTCACGGAAACAAAGAAATCATATTTTAAAGAAAAGAATTCGGGCGTAGTCTTGGAAGAATTAATTAATTTCTCTCATAGCATTCACGTAAAAAAAAAAAATCTTAAAAAATACAAAGTTTCAAGCAAAGTTAATTATAATAACTTTTAAAAACTGATGAAATATTGCACGTAAAAAGCACCTTACCAAAGGAAGAAATGTAAAAAATTAGATACTTGCCTTTATTTGATCCATTGCTTGACCTGACTTTATTATTATTTGTAAGTATCTTTTAGATCTATAAATGTTAACTTTTCTCTGAAATTTTCATATGCCAGTCCAAGATTTCTTAAATAATATCCCTTTTTTTTTTATTGTATTTTTTTCCTTAATTTTTTGGTTATTATTTTCTTCTTTAACAAAAAATTCGTTCTTGTTGTATTCGTTACAATTTGTTACAATACTTCAAAATTCAATACATAAAAAAATAATATTGTAGAATCCATATTTTCCATATTCTTTTTTTTTTTTTTTTTTTTTGTTTATCTCAAAGCTACGAATTAAACCGAAAATAACTGACTTAATAAGAATTTTGTATAAATATCAAAAATCGAATTAAAGACGAAACGAAAATTGCATATTAAATGTAACTCGCATATGCTTAACGTAAGTTAAATTATTGCCTTTAACTAAAAGGAGTGTTCCCCCCGAAATAAAGAACAAAAAAAAAAAAAACAACGAACAAAGGTAATTATGACGCCAAATAAAGTAAAATAAATTGAATCCTTATCGGAAAAGATTATATAATATAAAAAAAAAATTTTTTTAAAAAGAAAAAAATCAAACGAAAAAGTGCCGGGAATATGCGAATGCACGACTTTGTTAGAAAGAGGTAATTGTAGGTAATGAAAAAAAAATGAAAAAAAAATAAACAAAAACCCCCCATCGATTACTGAGTATTTCTTCTCGAAATCTCGTTGAGGTAAATCAATTACGTTTGCTTGCCAATATAGTCATTCTTTTTTGTCTTAATACATGTTGGACTCCCTCAATTGCTTGTTCGACTTCAGAAAGCAATCTTTCTCCCCACTCTGGTATAACTCCTCTGGTTTCCGTTCCGTTAGATTTATTACTGTTACTTTGATTAACAGGTCCATTCCACCGAGGATATTTTTTGATGACAACTTCAAAGATTTCTAGTTTTAACTCTTCTTCTAACGCTACTTGAAATTTTGTATCTATGCCATATAATGAATATACAAATTGATCTATCGCATATTGCAGGCAAGCAGAAGAATGAAGGAGAGATTCAAAAAATGGTTTCATCATATGTGTTCTGGTGTTTGGATAACGTTGATCGTTTAATATTGCCGCGGATCGTAGCTTGGATGTTAGCCCTCCTATCTCGTCCTGTTGAAGTGAAGAAGATGAAATTTCTCCAGGAATTAAGGAATATTCCGCCATATTGTCGCCTCTCCCACGACATTGTTTAACCATTACCCAATTTCCTTCCTGTTCTTCTCTTAAAACTACGCTGGTTTCGTCACTATAAGAATCAGATTCTTTCTCTTGCCATTCACGCCCAGCTAGTTGCCAAGATCCTCTTCGTAATTTTTCTACCACAGCACTTGCAACCTTTTCTTCTTCATCGCATAAACCAATGCCTTCATAGAGCATTTGACGTACAGTTATCATTTTCTGAGTACAGTCAATAAACCAATTAACCCCCTCCGTGTCAGTTGGTGCAGCATATGGTATTTTGGCCATATTCTCTCTGAAGAGTCGCATGCGACCCTGCTGATCATATTTACAATGGTGGGAAAGAAAATGTTGAATTGTGGTAGAGTTAAGAAGTCCAAGAAAGAAATACGAAGGAAGTCTAGTTGTCGGTTTGATGGTAAAGTAAATACACTAATATATAAAGAATACCAAAAAAATATTTTTCGTTAAAATAAGAAGGAAGGAATTTGGGGAAGTCGTTCAAGCATTTATGATAAAATAAGATATTTTAGTATAATGATGTGTATACCTGATTGGTTACACAAACATTATCCTCATCTATGAAGAATCTTTGACGTGGCTATGTTATGTATATAAAAAAAAAAGCACATATATATAAATATATAAGCGAAAATAATTTTAAAAAAAATTTAATATAAAAGAAAAGGGTTAAATAAGATAAGGTAAAAAAAAAATACCTGATTTTTAGAGAAATAACCATAATTAATCGGATGTATAATCTTCGTTTGTACGTCAATTCTATTAGTAACGTAATAATAAAGGGGTACATGAAAATAAAGTTAGATTAGGCAAAATAAATTAAGAAAATAAAAAAAAAAAATTGGCAATTTTTCCCACGCGTATTGTCCAAAAATATTACACGTTGCAGACTAAAATATGTATTAGTGCTGAAACTTCAAAGTGTATCGAAGAAGCAATTGAAGAAACCTTCTTGAATGAATCGTTACTTTTTTTTTTTTTTTTTTTTTATTACTCAAAGATGGATAAATTCATGTTTTGTATAGCTAACAGCAGCGCATCTAGCGTATATCTGATAATGCTAGGCGAACTATCAGCTGTTTATGAAGAGGTCATTGGTACTTATTTCATATGATAAAAAAAAAAAAAAAGTAATTTGACCTACAAAATATTTCCAAAAATTTGTACTCACCCACATTTACTAGTTCCGCAATATGCGACTTCTCTTGAGGTCATTCCGGTCTGTAACTGTTTTCTAGCTTCCTTAAGATAATGCCAAAATTCACTGTTTTCACCAGGTTCTTTGCGTAACTTGTCTACAGCATCACGATCCACCATAATTAATGAATACATAGATTTATCTTTTTCATGACAACCTTTAGTTATAGTAGAACCACTGGAATTGTAAGAGAGAAAAGGTACATATGCTTCAGCAGGTGAACTTTCTTTTTTTTCAAGACGCATTTCGTCACCCATTTTCTGCCAAAACTCTGCTTCTTTTCCACCATTTTTTCCATTCCAATAAAAAACTGGACGTAACCAACGCTTACAAACTTCTGAACCAAATTTAGAATATGCCCATGAGGTACGCACAACGAGAGCATATACAGGATTAGTATTAGGACCTCTATGCCAAATCAAAGGATTACATTCCTGCCAAGTAGGTTTTATGCTTGAATGGTCACACAAGGAAGGAAAATTAGCAGTTATCGAGTGAAGGTAAGCACTCACAGCAGAAGTTGGCATTAAGAAAGTAAATGAAAAAGAATTTGTAGTTGATGGAAGTGAAGTATGAGGATGAGGAGGTGTTATTTTGTAGTGCATTTCTTTATCAAATTGCGTTGAGTTAGGATTAAAATTTGAATATGCATGAAGTGTTTCTTGCAAAGTTGCTTTACGGTTCATGTAACGCAAAAAGACAATAGGTGGTTCAATGAAGCTAGAAGGTCTACCAGAAGACATTCCATTCGGGAGTAGAGGTTCATTTCTTCGTCGTAAACGGAAAATTAAAGAATCGGTTTGTATCTTCCTCCAAACCTTAAATGGCTCAAATTGGAAGAATTCTACGAGATGGCATTTTTGCCATAACCACGCTCTAAAAATAATTTTTGAAAAAAAAAAAATAAAAATAAAATAAATTTATATTTAAACAATTAATTAATTATAAATTTAATTAAATATAATTTAAAATTTAAATAATAAATAATTTATAAATAAACTTAAAATAAAAAAAAACAAAAATGATTACAAACAAACAAATTAAATTAATTAAATTAATTAAATTAATTAAATTAATTAATTAAATTAACAGCTTACCTTAATTTGTCTGCAAACTCTAAACCCATCCATTGACTCGCTTTTTTGGTAAGAAATGGTAAAAAATATGGAAAATAATAGGTTAAAGAAAGTAAAGTCATTGTTTCCAATAATGTATATTGAAATGTAAAGGTGTATTACAATCGTTGTCAAATATTACAAATTAAGTTATGAATAAATTGTGTATCAAAATAATCATCATTATTTACTGTTTTTACAAGTTTTGAGCCAAATTATATATAAATCTTGTTAAAATACAGGATTTCAAAATTTTTAAGGTTTATTATTTTTTTTTTTTTAGAAGCAAAAAAATCAGATAATAACATACCGCTTATTAAACATATTTCACCAGTTTCTTCTTTAACTCTTTCCACACAGAACCAAAAAAAGTAAGCATAAGCTTGCATACCACCTTTTCCTAATACTCTTTCATCAAAAAGTTCACTGTCAGGTTCAGAAATAAAACCGGTTTTCCTGATCATATAAGGAGGATTTGTAACAATATAGTCAAACTTGAGTCTTTGAGGTGAGCGTAATAATTGTAAATTTTCGTATTCCCATGTACGTTCAAGTTTAGGAAGAGGAAGATACAAATTTAAAGTATCATTACAAAAGAGATGTAATCGAGTCAATTTCAATTCTCCATAATATGATAAATTTCGAAATCGTTTAAATAATGGTAATAAATGCATCGTGATGTTCAGTTTACAAAGATGAAAAGCAAACGCATCAATTTCTATACCCCAAAGATTCGTAGCCAAAGATTGGAGTAAATGAGAAATAGCCTTTGGATCATTCCAAACATTAGGACATTGTTGAGCGGCCATAGTAAGTCTATTGATAAATTCACAAAGAAAAGAACCAATTCCCATACAAGGATCTAAAACACTAGGGGCTTCAGGAAGAACACCTCCCCAAGAAGAAGAAGAAGAAAATCTCGACGAAGATGGTTGAGGATGATTAGAATTAGAAGAAGAGGGAGAAACTCTCAGAAGCTTCTCAATTAAAGTTCCATCATTTCCTCTTCCTATTAAAACCCGATCCCACATAAATCTCATTACCTCTCTTGGAGTATAAAATTGTCCATGATCCTTTTGGTGTTCTTTTGCGAAAACGTTTAAAAAATGTTTTGTATAAAACATAGACAAAATAGATTCAATTGTTTCTAAAGTAGTAAAATGGATAGAAAATGCTCTAAGGCGCATCGAAAGGTCACGATAAAATTCTGGTTGAGGACGTACAATTCCACGATAGTACCAATTAAAAGCGTCCAAAGTATCATTAATATTTTGTTCATTATGAATTGATTGAGTTGAATTAGTTGAACAAGTTGAACAAGATGAATTATTTGAAGAATGACGAGGAAGTTGAAAGAAATTATCCTCTTCATGAAAAATGTTCATAAATCTATCTATTGACGTACGTCGACAGTTCATATCTTCACGTTGTTCACATAGAAAATCCATGACCACTAATTCAAAAAACATTTGAACTACAGTTAGAAAAGCAGTCATTTGACGATAAAAATTAAAGACATGGCAGTAAAGCTCAGTTTCGGGAGTTGGAGGTTGAGTAGAAATTATTGAATGAAGTTGATTCACAGATTTTATAGTTGACGGTTTGATATTTGTAGAAGATTGTTGTTGCTGTGGGAAGGAACATTCTTTTATGAGTTTATTAAATTCTCGAAGAAAGCTTGCAGGAATTAAATGACCTAATTGTATGTAATATAAAAGAGATCAAAAAAATGAGAATTTATTAATTGAATTTCCGTTTTGAAACCTTCAAAAAATGTCATTTTATCAATTTATCAAAAAAAAAAAAAAAATAATAATTTTTTTTTTTCGTCAAATTAGTAAATCATTCTCATCATAATAAAATTAATTATTGTATATAATATAAATTTATGTATAAAATTTATATATAATTACTATATTTTATGAATAATTGGATGATGATGATATAAAAAAATTATTACCTTTACTTTGATTTAAAAAAGTTCCACAAATATCAAGTTTTATTTCCTCCAAAAGATTTCCCAAAACTTCGACCACTTTACTTACTAAATCTTCAGAATTAATATTGGTAGGAAAAGATGAATAAGAAGAAATAAAACAAGAATCATGCCTTCTATGCGAATTACTAATATTATTATTACTATTAAAAGATTCTCCACTAACGGATGGAGGAAAATTCTGAGAAGAAGGGGAAGTAGAATTTGGAGTAGTTGCTGGATTCATGGATTTAAAAACGAAAGGTATGGTAGTAGGAGTAGTAGGAGTAGGTGTAGTAATAATAGAAGAAATGTCGTAATTTGGTTTTGAATCTTGAAAATAATTATTACAAGTTAAACTTGTAGGATCAACCTCATGTTCGTTAAGAATTACTCGCAACCAGTTAGTTGAAGCGATTGAATTTGTAATGCTGGTATTGGTAGTAATATTGGTATCGTTGGATTCACTAGTAAAACGCTTTCGTTTTATCTTTCTTTCGTTTTCGCTAGCATTTGGCATTGGCGTAAATTATAATAAGGTTTTAGGTAAGCGGTAAGAAAAGTAGGGTGATCCTGTTTGCCTGCCCGCGAAGATAAAGAAAAATTGGAGAAAGGAACATATCAGCATTTTAAATTTATTCAAGTTATTTAATATTTTTAATATCTTAACAAGTGTTTTTACCTAGTTATACTTCGAGATTTGAACAAACTTCCTGCTTTTTATGTTGGCCACTTTAATAGAAATATTACTGAAATCGATTCTTTAAATGAGAAAAGAAAAAAAAATAGCGAAGGGCAGATTACAGTAATGCAACAGTATACAACTATAAGTACTTTTAAAAAAAAAGCGTGACAAATTCCCACTTTTGAGGCTTTGGGAATGTTTTTTGATCGACAAGATGATCAATATTAATAACATTAATGGTATAGGTTAATAGAGTAGTAAAAAAAATTTTATAGGAATATTGCATAATTTCCGATTTTTTTAAATTAAAGTATAACAATATTAATATTAAATATAATACTGTAAAAGTGTTTAAATAATAAATTGTTAAATATCACGAGTTTTAAAAAAATTTCTTCTCTTTTATTCTTATTATAGTTTTTTTTTTTTTTTTTTTTGAAGTGGATAATTAAATAATCGGAAGAAAAACGTATTCCTATAAATGTCCATTTCTATAAGCGCGTTATTTATTAATGGAATTAATAGAAAGTTAGCTAAAGAAAAAAAAAAAGGCAAAAATATCTAGAAAAAAAGAGTTTTTTTTGAACAAGTAGGCCAATTTATAATATTTTTAGAAAAATACAAAAATAGGTATATTCATTATATATTTATTATACATATTAAATATATCATTATATATATTATATATATTAGTGTATTAATATATTTTAATATATTTTAATATATTTTATTATATTTTATTATATTTTATTATATATTTATTATATTTTATTATACTTGTTAATATTTTATTATACTTGTTAATATTTTTATTATACTTGTTATATTTATTATACTTATTATACTTATTATATTATTATACTTATTATACTTATATGTAACTATATGTCATCATTTGATTTACATTATACGCATAAGTCTATGATTATTTTGACATCATGTGTATAAATATGAACTTCCTTTTTATTTTATTTTTTATTTTATTTTATTTTTTTTTCATTTTATTTTATTTTTTCATTTTATTTTTTCATTTTATTTTACTTTTTATTAGTAACAGGATAATACTTATAAAACTTACTATACCTTTTTCGTATCTTTGTTTGATCGTCGATGAAAAATGACTAAAATCACCATGTATCTATATTATATATTATAATATATATATGTTATTATTATTGTCATTATTATTGTTATTGTTATTTATCAGAAAATTGGTGTTCACATTCAATAAAAAAAAATTAGACCAGTAAAAAATGAGTCACTATGTAAAAATTAAATATTGTAAATTGAGTAATGGTAAAAAAAAGGCGTATTTTCGTTTTTTTTTTTTCATTTTACCTTGTTTAATTAATTGAAATGTTTATCATGACATTAAATATATATATATATAAATATTGTATAATAACAATACAGAAAACCTGAGAAAATTCTAGATAAGCATAAGACATTACAACAACATTACAAAATGATACATAGACAAAGTACAGAGTACAATACGGGTGAAGGAATTAGAAAAAACAATCATTATTAAAGTGATTAAATAAATAATAAAAAAATTTTTTTTTAAATAATATATTTTTAAAAAAAATATTTATTTATAATAATAATAATAATAATAATAAAGAAATGAATATTTTACGAGCATGTTAATAAGAATTTTAAGAAGAAAAGAGAACGCCTTAGTTTAACTTTTCAGGACACAACCAAATATAAGTTGAATACAACTGGCAGATATAAGACAAGAATATAAATACAAATACAAATACAAATATACATAAGATACAGATAAATGCAAAATAAATACAAATAAACAGAACACAGATGCAAATAGACAGAATACAAGATAAATAAATTGAATATAAATGGATTGAATATAAATGGATTGAATACAAATGGATAAATACAAGGATAAATACAAGGATAAATAAAAAGATAAAATACAACAAATAAGAATACAAACAATATAAAATGGTCAGTATCAAAGTTCTTATGACCTGTTTCACTAAATCAAAAAAAAAAAAATAAATAAAATACAAATTGAGAAAGAACTCACAATGAACTTTATTATTTAACACAAGAATATAAATATTTGGATTAAAGTTAAGATCCTTAATCATAGGAACCACTCAAATAATCGTGTGTTCTATTTATTATAATGAAATACATAGCTTCTCAGATAATCCAACACTTATTTGGGAAGGTCACTCAAACCCATTAAAAGCGCGAACTTTGAATAAAGTCTTTGTTCAACATCATTATCGTGTCTAATTCTGGTTTGTCATTGTGACATTTCTTGCTTAATTTAGCTCCCCACATTTCGGACCCTGAAAATTCGTACAAATTCACGTTCGGTAGGTGTGTGAAAAGAATTCATCTGAATTCCTGGAATCAAAAAAAAAAAAAATTTTTATATATCAAAAATTATCATTTAAAGTTTTTCTATAATTGAATTATGATTATTTCAATAATTACAATGGTTTGTAATTATTTTTAAGTCTTATGAGATATTATTAATATAAATTATTCATTTTTTTAATTGGTTAAGATTGTTAGTATAATTTATTTTTAAAAATAAAAACAATATGTAAATTATTACGCGTGTCTTTAAATAACGTGTTTATATAATGACACCCAATGGTAAATCTATCCCGATTAACTCTTAATGACCACAAAATTGAGCAACGTGAACATGAACTCAACACAACATGATGTGGAAAAATCTATTTAATTTAATAAGGTTTTTTCTACTAAAGGTAAATCAAATTGATTCATTTATTCCTTTTTCTTTACATATTATTTAATTTCTTGTATCACAGTATTCCAATAATAATAACAATAAATTAACAAAAATCGATAATATATATTAACAATTAGATCTCGGGTTTCGATAAAAAAAAAAAAAAAAAAAAAAAAAAAATATATATATATTTCTGGATTTTTCATGATTTTCTGGGTACATCTTTATTTGAAAACAATTTTAGAAAATACTGGTAGAAATACTGGAAATACCGGATATACTTGGAAATACTGGAAAATAAACAGTACACAAGTTTTTTTTTTTTTTTTTGAATAATATATATAATAAATAAACGGAATTTTCTATAATAGTAAATAACTGAACTGTAATAATAATAATAATAATAATAATAGTTATAAATATAATAATTAATAATAATTCATTACAAATAATAAATTAATAACAAATTAATAACATTTATTATCTAATAATGAAACAATTGATACAATTAATAAATAATTATTGCCATCTTTTCTTTTTTAGATTTCGTGCCATTTTTCTTCTTTCGATTGTAAATTAACTTTTTCTATCATAAGTGGTATGATGGTGAGTACGATTGGTAACGAAGATTGATGTATTATGATGATAATGATAAAGAATTCATATTTCTTTGGTAATGATTTTATGGATGATGATCCTACTCAAAAAATATATTGAATGAAAAATAGACGTTATATTTATATTAGAAAATGTTTTATTAATTAATTTATTTGATTTCCCACCCCTTCAAAAAAATTTTTTTTTCAAAAATATGTTCTCACAAACAACGTGATTCATTCATTTAATAACATATTTGATCGAATTTTTTTTTTTTTTACAAACCAGAATATATCAAGGTTAAGGGTATAACAAGGTTAAAATATAACGGGATAGGTAATTATAGATAAAAACATTCAAACCAGATGATAAATAACCAGATAAATAACGAGATGCAAGTATATGATGAGATAAAGCACAAGATACAAAATACTGCATATTATAACAAAGATGAATCAATCAAACAAGAAGTAATCAAAACCACAAACCACCCCACATTTGAGATTTCTTTTTATGGTGTTGATAGAAAAATTTATTTTGCAGCATTCAATGGCTGTCAATACAATCAGAGTTATATCAGAACATGTATTTTACAGTTTAATTGTATAATTAATTGTAACATTTTAATTAACGATTTTAATTAATTTAATAGTAATTAATTAATTTAAATTGGAATTAATTAATTAATATAATTGATTAACAATTGATTAACAATTATAGATTCATTTCATTCGTTGTCGATCATACAAAAAAAAATCTTTTACGCGTGCACTATCTATGTTATATATATATATATATGTGTGTGGTGTGTTATATAGCGGTGTAATGCGTCTGATTTCTTTATTACATAATTCAAGATTACAAAAAAAAATTTTTTTTTTTTAAAGAAATCATTCGACAAATTTTCAATCAATCATATTCATAACTGGTAGGCCATTTAAATCATTCAACAAATACATCTAATCTAATAGTTCCTTCCATCTCAATTTCCCATTTTGCAACATTCCAATCTTCTTCATCTTTAAGAGAAATTATATCGTTAACTTTATTTTTATATGATAAGTTATGACATTGTTGTAATTGTGGTAACCCAAACCGTTTTTGAATATATTCAATGAATTGAATGAATGAACCTTCTCGGGGAAAAACAGTGGCTCTTCTTTCGGTAAGAAATACGCATGTAATGTAGAATAACTATTATTAAAGTTTTTTTTTGTAATGTTATATTATGTAATGTTATGTTTATGTAATGTTCTGTTATATGATATTATGTTATACGATATTAAGTTATATGATATTATGTTGTTTAATAAATATTATCTCAACGACCGAATTGATTAAATATGTGGGTGAATAAAAAATAAAAAAAAATACCTTCTCGGTGGTGGTGGTTTCAATTTCAATTTCAGTTGTAATTTCGGTGATTTCGGAAGTTTCGGCGAATGGCGCATCATCATCATTATTGATGAAATTAATGGTATGTGGCTGTGAATTTGGATAAACAATAGACGAATTCTTCTGTATTGTAAATAATAACATAAGTTATAATAAAAAAAAAAAATTGGCTAACAAAAAAAAAAAAAAAGGACTAACAAATAAATAAGAAGAAGAAGAATAATAATAATAATAATAATAATAATTATTATTATTATTATTAATCACCTTTTCAACGACGACATTTTTCTCGACATTATTCGAAAAGGAATAATTATCATTATTAACATTATTATTAAAATTGTTAAAATTATTGTTATCGTTAAAATTGTTAAAATTATTATCGTTAAAATTATTATTAAAATTATTATTAATTTTAGAGTTAATAATAATATTATTATCATCAGCAGAATGACTTCCTAATAAATCAAATCGTAACCTTTGCATTCCTGCTTCAACCATTAAAATTGTATTTTTTTCTACCCACGGCATTGGTTTGAATTTAATAATATTTACATCATTAAATTTCCCATTGGTTGGATCCTTAGTTGATTGAATTGCTAAATTACTATTATTATTACCAACCCTTGGATAATGGAAGAACTTAATATAAGTTAAATAAAGTTAAATAAAGTTAATATAAGTTAATAAAGTTAATGTGATTTTAAGTTAATAAAGTTATTATAAAGTTATTATGTAACAAGTTAATAAAGTCAAATTAAGTTAATAAAGAAAGTCGCATAAAAAATGCACGTGTTACAACGTGTTAAATGAAATACATACCAACTTTTTAAAATTTGGTAAAAATTCAATAACAATTTCATTATTATTATCAATAATTTTCATGGCCACAATTTGATCTATGGAAATAACAATTTCATCTTCCATATTATTTAAGCCAATAGAAATTGCTTTAGATTTATAACGAAATAAAAATGAAATTTTCATTTCTTTGGTGGATGATGATGACAAAATTAATTGTTGTTGTTGTTGTTGGATTTTTTGAATAGATTGAAGGTCAATTTTAATAAATGAATTTTGATCTTGTGTAATCTCATTACTGTTAATAATATCATCTTTTTTTTTCGAAAAAAAAAAATTAATAATAATTTAAATAATAATTTTTAGTACGAAAAGAATTCTCATTATACACACCTGAAAAGACGAAGGTATCCATCATTTTATTATTGTTTTTTTTTTTATTTTATTGTTATTATTTATTTATTATTTATTGATTATTTTTTTTGTATTATTATTTGTATTATTTGACAATGATATTTGATAAAAAATAAAAATAAAAAAAAAAAAAAGTGCGATTTTTTTGAAACAAACAACAATTGTATATGATTTACACATTGTTTTCAAACAATCATATTACTATTTTATTTTATTTATATTTATCTATCTGATGTATCTATCTATATGTATATTTATTTTATATATTTTTTATACCTGGGTTTTAAAGGTCAATCGCATCACATGAATCTTATACGTGAATAATAAGCTTTTCATGTGATGAATGTTATAAAACAAATAATATAAATCATCCCCTACTTTTATATATTATATATATATTTTTCTTTCCTTTTTTCCTTTTCCATTTGTTTCCTTCCTTTTTCTTTCGTAAAAACAAAACCCCTTTATTACATAAGTAAATAATTAGGTTTCATAATTAATCTAATATTAATAATTAATATTTATTTTTCTATTTGGTATATTTAATAATTATTATTTATAATGATAATTTGTAATCATTATTTGTAATTGTTATTTAATACATTTGGCCAAAAAAAAAAAAAAAAGAAACCATAAAATTATTTATTATTTATTATCATTAAAAGTTTCTTATTACATAATAAAACAAACAGAGAACCAACATTATTACACATTATTATTATTTATGTTTTTTTTTTGAAAAAAAAAAAATAAACAGTAGAGTAAGTATCCATATAAAGAAAAATATAATGAGTAGGAATATATAGAAAAATGGCTCTGTTACAATTATTCATCATTGCATACATGATGTCGGAATTTCTTTGAAATATTCGTAAACCTGACCCGTAATTCAGTGACTCAATTTATCCAATCACAACAAATTTAATTTTTTAATTGGAATTCTTCAAAACTTGAAGGTTTATTTGGAACAATATTGATTATATTAAAATTATTGAATTTATTAATAAAAAATTATTTAAAAAATAAAGTTGGTATGTCAATGCTTCTATTTTTGAGAAAAATATACATAGTCAAGCAAAACCAACATATAACTGATAATATATGTATTTATAGTGAGAATTTTTTTTTGTTTTTCTTGATTTTTTTTTTATTTTTTATTTTTTTATTTTTTTATTTTTTTATCGGTTTCATTTTCATTTTTTTTCATTATTAAGTATGTACATTATTATTATTATTATTATTATTGTAGTTATTATTGTTGGTATTCTTATTCATTTGTTTTGATCCAATGCTCAAATTTTTCTAAAAAAAAAAAAAAAAAAAAAAATTATTATAATTGGTGAATTATTATATATTGCAGAAAAAAGAAAATTCAAATGATAAAAAATAAAGATCATATTGTAAATAATATAATCATATCATTGTATACTGTGAATATGTAAAATATATATATATAATATAGCAAATTATCTAAGGTAGTTGTAGTAATAATAATATTGAATATGATGAACATTATTATATAATTGAAAGAGAAAAGGGTAAAGAATTAAAAAGACAAAAAAAAATAGAATGACACTTGATTGATTGAAAGGTTTGAGAAAACGCAATAATAAAAAAAAATAAATAAATATATATATACATATATATATATATTAACATCATCTTTGATATATTATTATCATAGCATTCGGGAAAAACACGATGATAAAAAATTTCGGCTACGAATTTTCGACTTCTTTTTTCTTTCTCGTGCTAAAAAAAAAAAAAAAAAAAAAAAAAAAAAAAAAAAAAAAAAAAAAAAAAAAAAAAAAAAAAAAAAAAAAAAAAAA